TTCTGTCCCGGTTCAGTTCTGGATTAGTCCTGGCTGCAGATAAAGTTATGTGAAATACAGGTTTCTAGTGTAGCCTATAAACATTGATTTTCTAAGTGGTTATACTTTAGCTTGGGGGTTCCTCTTTGGCCCAGGGAGGAAATGGTGTCATGACCCCTGTCCAAGGTCTGAGGGGGTCTGGGGTGGGCTTTTGTTCTGTGGCTGTCTGCATGTCCTGTCTCTACTATCTCTCCCAAAGCTTATATCAGTGCTGAACAGTTTTCTACTGTGTATAATGCATGCAAGATGTCCATATGCTTTGAAAAGTGCTGTGAAATCAAATGAGCCTCTGGTATGTACACAATAGACTTATCAAACAGGCTCCACTTGACCTTCTGTGCAGATATGTCAGCCTACAGAGAGTGATACATAGTAAATAGTGGAGAAACAATATGATGGCAAACTTCAACTGTTCACAGCAAGAAGGTCCTGAGTTTGACAGTATAAGCCTTTAAAGGGCTCAAATTACACTATTTTCTGATCTATGTTATAGGTCCTTTATTATGTAAACTTGACTCTTGTGAGCTTTAAGCCATGTTATAATGTTGTTACCACCACAAAAACAGACCTGGATTTGTGATTTGTTTCATTCACACATGTTTGAGTAATCCTTTATTATTAGTCTGTCTAAAGATCAGAATGCTCTATTTCACTTTAAGATGTCATGAAGCAATCTACATATGCAAGATTTGTGTGTTAAACATGTGTGAATGAAACAAAACACAACTCCAGGTATGTTTGTGATGAGAAAACAACTTTATAACTTAGATCAGAAAATAGCATAATATGGACCCTTTAAAATAAATGCTGATACCATGCTGCAGAACTTTCTAGGTAAAGTCAAAACATCTCCACGGAGACAAACCCCCACCAGAGGAAGAAGAAGAAGACAGTGCACCTTCAACTGATTTTTTTTTTATTGATGACTCAACAATTGGTAGACAGTTGCATAACTTAGCTTAAAGCCACTGAATCTATATCTGTTTTATAATCAGTGACATACTGATTAGTCCAAACACATATGCACTTGTCACTGGCTGGTATGTAAACCTATGTGTGACTCAGGGTGAGTTATGGGACAGATAACAGCTGGGAGACGCAAGTCCTGCTCTGATTCAGTCCACTCAGCAGATGGCACCAGCCCGAGGGAAAGCATGACATCACTACACAAACACTACATAATGTTGAGACACTGCTCGAAGACATCACACAAATGTTCATTCACTCAGCACTGGGAAATACTGAAATTATGTAACTAATTATGAGTAATTATTGGATTGTGTGTTTCGTAAGCACTAGAATTTGTGTCATCTTTGTTAACAATCTAGCAAAGACGATGACAGCTCAGTGGTTTATATTATAGCGGGATCATATCATATTGTTCAGAAATCAGATACTAATTGATACTTAAACTAGTATCGAAAATAGATACTCATTTGAGCAGGTGCTGATACTACAAAAGTCACACTCACAGGACAGGAATGAACTTCTCCTGAACAGTTTTAGACTGATCTTGAGCTGTATCATAACAAGTATATGGAACCTAGGGATTACACAGGTATAAGGTCACATGGAAATATAAAATAAAGTACTATTTAATACTGAAAATCATATTCTAATGTGTAAAAAAGAGTGTTTTTTTTTATTATTATTATTATAACTGCGGCATCAGAATTGTTATTGAGTATCTTGTCTGTTCCTTGGTATCAAGTAGAATTTGAATATTGAGAACTGTGGCAACACTAGTATCAATGTTTATATCTATAAAGGCAATATGCATTACCAATTGAATTTGAATACCATACCTATAGGAAGTAACTATATTAAAGGGCCAGTACCTAACTTTTATCTTGTGATTCAGGAAAAAAGTATTTGCTGATTAAAGCTTTTTTCACTCCGTGCTGGGAAATACTAGAATTGTGTCACTAATTATGAGTAATTACTGGATTGTGAGTTTTGTAAGCAGTAGAGGAATTTGCGTCATCTCTGCTAACAACCTAGAGACTATTCCAATTCAGTGGTTTGTGTTCAGATTGAGACATATCTTATTGCATCTGTATAACATTTCAAGATATTTAAGGGCAAGTATCTAACTTTTATCTTGTAATTCAGGAAAATGCATTTTAGTCTTTAAAACTGACAGTAAAAGCAGCTATTATTTGAATGAATACTGGAATGAATATATATTTTGAAAAGCATTTTGCTGGATGAGAGCCATAAAGAAGCAAGGAATATTATCCAATCAGAGATGCTGTTGGATGAGAACCATGTGGAAGCAATTGAGTCATGTGACTACTGTTGTTTGTGCATCCGAGTGATCTATAATCTGCTACCATAAGTACAAGAAAGCCCCAAGGTATTTTAATATTAAGGCAAGAATACTGTTATCTCATCAAACTCCACTCATTAAACCTACACAACCCAGGAACATTATAACAAAATTGACCTAAATTTTGTTATTAATGTTACATAAGACTTCACAAACAAAACACATTCAGCTTTTTAGGGTTGGGAAAAGTATCAAAAAGTACCACAACCAGTACTAAAACTAGATACTAATTTGAGCAGGTATCGATACTAAAAAAGTCACATGAACCTTTCCTGAATAGCTTTAGAATGATCTTGAGTTGTGTCAGAACAAGTATAAGACCACATAGACTAGTATACGCCCCTGGACCACTTTCAAACGTGTTTTTTATTATTTTCATGGTACCGGAATCAACTTGCTTTTTAGTTAAGTGAGATTATCCAAACCAGTTCTTGCAAATTAGCAGGCTTCTAACCGGCTTTTAAACTTCACTTATTTGTTGCCAGCTGTTTTACACATGGCCTTTGCTAATTAGAAACAGACTTCATACTACATTCACACTGGTTTTAACAAACTATAGACTTTTACTGTGGCTTGTGGCGGAGGTGGGGAGTACCCAGGTCCATTTACTTGAGTAACTTTGTAGAGTAGTTTTCTAGTTGCATACTTTTACTTTTTACTTGAGTCATTTTTTTTAATATATATATCTAACTTGAGTAAAAGTTTGAGTTATTCTTCCCACTGTGAGTAAGTCTACAACTTTCTGTTGACAACATGAAATTATTTGAACATTTGTGTTTCTTACACTTCTTAGTTTTCCTCATTTTTGTGCCTATTTCAAAGTACCAGATTTTGTGCATTATTTAATATTTTATTCTTCAGTTTACATCAACTTCAAATTATTAATCAGATTTTATTCTTAAAGTTACTCATTTTGAGTAGTAGTTTTTATTGAAGCAATGTCTTGGACCACTACTTATACTTGTATTCTACTTGAGTTATATCATTTTGAAGTAACATCACTCTAATTTACTGCAATTTTTGGCTACTCTGTTCACCTTCAGCTTTTGGTAACATAAGCAGTACCTGTGAAAGACAAATGAGAAATTGTAATTCTTAAAGACGTCAACACTTCATGGACACATTCCTTTTAGTAT